ACAGCATTAGCAGTGGAGGGTCAGAGAGAGAGAGGGAGACATAGAATCTGAAACAAGCTCCAGGCTCTGAGCTGGCTGTCAGCACAGAGCCCGATATGGGGTTCAAACCCACGAACCATGAGATCATGACCTGAGCCAAAGTCGGACGCTTAACCAACTGAGCCACCCAGGTGCCCCCATTTTCCTCACTTGTAAAGCCTTAGGTAATCAGCAGGTAGATAATGTACCTGAAGTGCCTGGATCATAATATGAGCTGAAATATCAGCTCCTATTACAAATATTAATATTAATATCTTAAATCTTATGTGTAAGATTTGTTCTTTTAACTTATATATGTAATTTGTACTTCAATAAAGTGCTGTTAGCATGGAGAAGTTACTACAGCTGGAGCAGAGGGTGAGGCGGAGACGGGGGAGGCATGAAGCTGGGAAATAAGCCATGTTAGATGCTCTTGCTGGTGAGAAAACAGAGGGTAAGCATCATCCAGCTTGGCAGTTAGCAAGTGGTGAGGAAGGACTGGAACCCAGGTGTGTCAGACTCCTCAATTCTGCTCGTGTTTGTGGGCGGGTTTCAGGGCATGTGTTTTGGCCAGCAGTCTGTCCTGTAATCAAGTACGATCAAGGGTCGGGCCTCACTTTAGCCAACTATGGTCTACCACAGCCCATCAAATTCAAATCATGCAGTTGAAATCCTGATTCGTGGGTTGTATTTGTTTGTTGGCAGCCATCGGCTTTAGCCTCTTGTAGCCCCATAACACAAAGAGAAGAAAATGGCAGTGCAGGAAGAAGGCAATGTGAAGTTAAAAGGCAAGGAGGAGCCATGAGAGCCTTTGTGTTTGGAGCACAGCCACTTGTGGTTCTGAAAGGAGCAGGTAGGGAGAAGGAGGGTCAAGCCAGCCCTGAGCCAGGGGAAGGGAGCTCAGAGCCCCCTGGACCTTCCCCCAAGGAAAGGCGTCTCCTAGATTCTCTTCCCAGGCCTCCCCCTGCCTCTCAATGCTGTCTCCTCCAGTGGGACAGGTATACGGTTTTGGGTTTTTTTGTACTGTGTACGACTTGAAACTCTCTTTTTTTCCTCCACGTGCCTTTAAATCAAGGTGTTCTATTATTTCTGCAGTTTGGCAAGTGGTGGAGGGTGGCCTGTTATCTGTCAGAGCAGTCAGCAAAGGACAACCACATGTCATCTCGGAACTACAGCCGTGTTGGGGGGATGCAGGCTGCCCCCTGTGGGAACTCCGGAGGGCTGGCCCTCTGGCTTGGGAAGGAGCTCAGGCTGCTGGGTTGAGAGCATGGCTTTGTGGCTAAAAACCAATCCCTGAAGCACTGTGGAAATGATTGCTCTTGTTAACCAGATACAAATACCCACAGAGGGTATCACACATGCTGTGTATCCTCAAGTAGCCTCTCTTCTAGGTAGATGTACACTCAGAATGAGATAATTAAAAAAGAGCAGTCCCTGTTGGGGACCATATGGCTAAATGGCTCATAAAGACATTGATAGCAAGCAGCTCTTTTAATCTCATTCCCTTACCCTAAGAAAGTCTTCAGCACCCACCCTTCCATCCCCCCTCCATGGATTCTTCTTGGCTTTAGTAGCCCTGCAAGTAAATACAACCTGGCCTTTCAGCATGGCTCTGAAGTAGCCCAGAAAAATAGGCTCCTCTTCAAGCTCTTTATTAATCTCTTGCCTATAGAACTTTAGGCCTAGTAAGCCTACTTATATAAGAAAGTATTTTCTGCAACCAAACTGAATAAAAAGAAAATCGTGGATTGTATGCAGGAGATTTTTAGTGAAAATGTTTGAAACCTTTTAGATACACATTGTTTAGAAAGACAAATATATTTATAGAAAATGCATATTTTTTATAGTGTACATGAACATTCACCAGATAGACCATATTCTGGGTCATAAAATTTTAACAAACTTAGGAATGTCTAGGTGGCTCAGTCAAGTGGGCGTCTGACTCTTGATTTCAGCTCAGGTCACAGTCTGTGGGTTTGAGCCCCACATCGGGGCTGGATTTGGAGCCTGCTTCGGATTCTCTCCCTCTCTCTCTGCCCCTCCCCCATTTGTGCTCAATCTCTCTCAAAATAAATTAATTAACATAAAAAAAACTAACAAATTTAAAAGAACTGAAATTATACAAAGCATGTTCTCTGACCATCATGGAATTAAACTAAAAACCAGTAATGGAAAGAAACCTGGAAAATTTCCAGGTATTTGGAAATTAAACAGCATACTTCTAATTAGGCTGTTGGTCCAAAGATAGTCATAAGGGAAAATAAAAAATATTTTAATCAAATGAAATTGAAAATACCTATCAAAAATTGTAGCTGGCACAGTGCTTAGAGGGAAATTAATAGTATTAAGTGCTTATTTTTAGAAGTACAAATTACCAATATTAGGACAGAAAGAGAGGATATCACTAGACTCTACAGACTTAAAAGCATAATAGAGAAATATTACAAACATCATACCCAGAAGTTGGACAATTTCTATGAAATTCCTTATAACACACAAACTATCAAACTACCAAAGCTCACTCAAGAAGAAATAGCCTGAATAGTCCAGTAGCAATTCAAGAAATTGAATTCATAGTTTAAAACCTTTCTATGAAGAAAACTTCAGGTTCAGATGGCTTCCTTGGCAAATTGACTAAACCTTTAAGGAAGAAATATTTTACACAAACTCTTCCAGAAAATAGGAGAAGGAACATTTCCCAATTCCTTTTATGAGGCTAGCTAGTATTGAAAGATATTGCAAGAAAACAATAGACCATGCATGAACTTAGAGGGACAACTGAACAAAATAATAGCAAGCCAAATTCTGCAGTGTATAAAAAGAATAATAATACTGCTCTGCTGGTAAACTGGCTCTCTTTGTACTGCTCACTGATTTCCATGGTGTAAAAACTCCCACATGGCTAATTGTAAGCTAACAGTGTGAGGTCACTGACCATGGGAGTGAGGAAGAGATGTGTAGAATTAGCTTTTGTGAGCTGGTGTGATCCAGCGTCAGCACATCATGACCAATATGCAGTTTTCCCAAGATTGCAGGACTGGTTCAACATTCAGAAATCAATGAACATACTTCACCATAATAACAAACTAAGGAAAAAGACCAAAAAACAAAACAAAACAAAAAAAACTATAAACCAAAAAAAATGTACTTAGTTCTGTACATAGCAAAATAAAACTACCCAAACTGGTAACGCTTAACAGTACAGTCTGCTTCAGGCCCCACTGTGCTCTATGTCGCCTGTCCCCTTTTTCGTTTCATTGCTCTGATCATTGCAACTCCTAGATTATACCCTCTTCCTATGGCCACTGCTTGCTTATTCAACATTTTTAGTAGATGCAGTGGCATGTTAGGAGGAGGAAGAGATATTCATGCACGCAAAAAAAAAAAATACACCCTACTGAGATCTATAAAACCATATAATTGACTCATAAATTTTTCACATACACCCCATGATGAAGTATGTTTGTCTGTCTGTTTTTAACTTACATTCAAGGTACTCTTTGTGACAACCTTTTTATGGTTACCCTAGCAGGGTGATAACATGGTGAAATGAAGACCTGATTCTCTTCTGATTTGAGAGCAGCCTTGGGTCAAAAATCCTGTCCCTTTTAAAGTCTTTGTATCAGCCCCTGACAAATTACTTGGCACAGAAAGAGAGACTCAGTGCATGTTTTGATGAATGGATAAATGAATAACAGAATTCTGAGGATTCCTCATTTGCAGAGGCTCTCAGGTCAAGACTTCAGTGTGAGACTCAAGTACTCACCGTGGAAATGGCCATTCTTTGAAAAGACTGACAATCCCAATTGCAGTGTGATATTCAGTACCTCTCTGAATTTATAAAACATTTATAAAATGAGGGGAATGGAAGATAATCAATTAAAATACCCTAGAGAACTTCTTTTTTTTTTTTTTAATGTTTATTTTTGAGAGGCAGGGGGAGAGAGAGATACAGAGCATGAGCAGTGGAGGGGCAGAGAGAGAGAGGGAGACAGAATCTGAAGCAGGCTTCAGGCTTTGAGCTGTCAGCAGAGTCCAATGCAGGGCTTGAACTCTTGGACTAGGAAATCATGACCTGAGCTGAAGTTAGGCTCTTAACCGACTGAGCGACCCAGGTGCCCCCAAGAACTTCTTTTAAGAAGATCTGGGCCATTGTATCATCTGATAAAGTACTGTGGGACAGGTAGAGTATTAGATGATGAATATTGATCACAGCTATGAGGAGGAGCTTTAGCATAATTTTATGGTGTGTTAGGCTTTTATGTGTTGTCCATACACTTTAATGTGTGTGCTCTTTTTGAAGATCAGTGTGTAAGTACATTTATGTTGATTGAGGGGGGACCTGGGGCACTGTTTTACTCATTGAAGTTACTATATATCTTTGGATTTTGACATACTGTTGATTGTGGCTATAATATTCAATGCCTAATTCCTGATCATCTGCCTTACTGTGTGATTTCAGTGAGCCTGAAATGGAGTGGTAGGTGTTCTCTCAGTCCTGGAATAGTAGCATGGGTTAATATGATCTGTGACATTCCCAAGATGGTTTACAGGTGAGCTGAGAAGAGAATGAGCTTGGCTAATTTAAGAAGGCCAGACTGGGTGGGATTATTCACCCCCAGAGGAGGTCAGGCTGAGAGACTTGCTCTACTTACGTGAATAACACTTTTGAGTTTCCTGATTTGCTTGTTAGCTTTAAAAAAGAAAGGAAGAAAGAAAAGAACCTTCTTTGTAGAGAAATGGACATTATCATTCTTCCCAAAATCCAGATTTTTAGTTATCAGAAACATACTAAATTTTGCCTCCACCCTAATTATCCTTCAAGCTGAGCACTTGTCTTAGCAACCTCTGGTCACCAATGAATTGACACTGGCGTCATAGTTAGGTTTGGTTTCAGTGTCCCGAATCCCTCAATGGTCTTCATTATCATAGCCAATCGGATTTGTACTTTAATTTTACTAATGGAAGTTTTTCTCCATCAGGGATGGATGAATGAGATTCACAACTATGATCCAGAAACTTACCATGCGACTTTGACCCATTCAGTCTTTGTTCGACTTGAGGGTGAGACCTTAAGACTTTCAAAGCCCAATAAAAATATATCCAGGAGGGCAAGCTACAATGAAACAAAGCCAGAGGTTACCTACATCAGCCAGAAAATCTACGACCTTTCAGACAGCAAGGTGAGTGAGCCCAGCTAACTTGGGAAACGTTAATGAAAGAAAAGCGTTTGGAATCTTGGTTGCTTAACTGCATTTTTCCCCCTCAAAACGTTGTGCGTGCATGTGTGTGTGTGTGTGTGTGTGTGTATGCGCGCACGTGCGCGCGTGTGTTTAAAGTATTAGTATAAATTAGGGTAGTACTTTTCATGCAGATCAGCCAAGCATCTTTTTAAATGCAGGTTCTACTTCAGTAGCTCTGAATGTGGGTCCTGAGAGTCTGCATTTGTGTGAGCTCCCAGTTGATACTCTTGCTTCTGGGCTGTGGGCCACACTTTGAGGAATGAAGCATAACACACTCATCTGTTTTGAGAGTTATTTTTTTCTGTTAAACGAAAAGCTGTGTGTAGTGGCGTAGGGTAATAACTAATGTAAATGTGAAATTTATGGGTATGTAAAATAACTACATTTTGATAAGTGTTATATACTTCTGTTTTTGAGAAACATAAATCATTTGTTATTCCAAAAAGCTATAGGTTCTCTGTTGTTATAACTCATGTATGAGATCTTTAAGTTTACCCCAAATGCAGAAATATTTAAAATAGTTTTTGTATAAATTCACACATGAGGCTAATAAACTTGAGGTTCCCATCCAGATCTAGTTTGATAAATTCATTTTTTTTTGAGGTTGGCCCAAGGTTATTAAACTCAGTTGATAGTCAAACTTAGTTGATGATAATACTGAATACGTTTTGTGCCACTGTTACCTAAAAATTATAGATATCTGTAATTCTCCCAGAATTCTTTTTTTTTAATTTTTTAATGTTTTATTTATTTTTGAGAGAGAGAGACACACACAGCGTGAGCAGGGGAGGGTCAGAGAGAGAGGGAGATACAGACTCTGAAACAGGCTCCAGGCTCTGAGCTGTCAGCACAGAGCCCGACGCAGGGCTTGAACTCACTAACCGTGAGATCTTGACCTGAGCCGAAGTTGGACATTTAACCGACTGAGCCACCCAGGCGCCCCCCAGAATTCTTAACTCCTACTTCTGAATGAGTTTGAAGAACAGCACGTCACTTCTAAACATTTATCCCAGTTTTTCTTTTTAAAGATTTTATTTTTAGGCAGTCCCTACACCCAACATGGGGCTTGAACCTACAACCCCTAGATCAAGAGTCACACACTCCCAACAAGTGAGCCAGCCAAGCGCCCCAAAATCTATCCCAGTTTTTATAGTCATGTTGTAGACAGACGTGTAATTTATTTCACATTCATTTTAGTCCAAAGGGCTATAAAGTTTGCATTTGTGTTCTGCGTGCACGGTGTGGCCAATTCTTAATTTTGTGTGTAAATCATCATTTCCCTTTCACTCTAGATTTATCTTGTACCTAAAAGTTTGGCTCGAAAACGAATTTGGAATAAAAAGTACCCCATTTGTATCGAGCTTGGTCGACAAGATGACTTTATGTCTAAGGCCCAGACTGATAAAGAGACTTCCGAAGAAAAACCACCAGCCGAGAGAGAGCTGGGAGGTGAGGACCCTAAGAAGCCACCCCATTCTCAGGAGGGAACAAGATCTGGCCAGCGAGATCAGATACTGTATCTCTTTGGGAGAACTGGCCGAGAGAAAGAGGAGTGGTTTAGGCGATTTATTCTGGCATCTAAATTGAAGTCGGAAATCAAGAAGCCACCTGGAGTCTCTGGAAGTAAACCAGGTAATGACGTGTGCTAAATGTTTATGTATGTTTAAAGAGCCTGAAGGAGAACAGAGAGAGATTCCCAGGTAGAAAGGAAGAAGCCCACCCTGAACTGATGATTGTCTAAGGAGTATTCTCACGAATCATTTACCTTTTAGGCTGATCACTACAACCCTTTGCACTGAATCATTTAATCAACCAGGGACGGACCAACTTGCAGATATATGGGTTTTTGCCTTTCCTAGTTGCTTAGGATTGTATTTATTTTTACATACTGTGACTCCTCTGGGAGAAGAAACATCAGGAGAACCCTAGTTGTGACAAGGAGGTGGGTAAGTCAGGGCACTATTGCAGGCTAGTGCTCTTAGGCTCCTGACCCTAAACATGGCGTGCCAGGCCTAAGATCGCCATAGAAACGCAGAGTCCTCTGGCTTCCTGACTCACATTGGTACTGACGACCCGTCCCTCTGTCCCAGTGGACCCCACTTGGACCTTTGCTGAACCTCTCGGTGTTCTTTAGACCTCTGGGGCCCTGTCCTTGCTTTTTGCATATGCTGTTCCCTCTAACTGGAATGCTCTTCCCCCACCTGCACCAGGAAAATGCCAACTACTTCCTCCAGAGGTAACCTGGAGGAAACTACTGGTGAAAGTCAGGCCTGGGGCTTTCTTGGGCAGAGGTAGTCACCCCCCTCTTTCTGCCCTGAAAATCCTTCAGTCGGGCTTCAGTTACAATGATTATTATAGAGAGCTGTGATTTATTTGCTTAGGTCCCCAAATTCAAAGGCAGGGATTATGTCTCATTTTTTCATTTAATGTGGAATTGGCCCTGGAAACCAGCTTGACAAACTGTGAAAGGGAAAAAAATGTGGAATTGGCCCAGAGAAAGTGCTTGATGAAAACCTTAGTTGAATGAAAGATGGCAGGTCTGGAATTGCCCTGAGCCATGGTGAGTGCTTAGCTTTCTGCCCACTTTCCATTTGTCCCTGGGGGTATATTGGTTCTGTATTTGACCCTAAGTGACTACGAGGGGGTAAAAAACTGAGAAAGGTACTTACCAGTTGGACTTCCTGGCCATCAGTTCCTCCGAATTATCTTGGAGAAGAATAAAAACTATTCTAAAACATTTTTATTAGAAGGTATTTTTCAGGGTAGGAAATAGCCTTATAAATATTTTTTTAAAACAGTCATTCGTTAGCATTTTGGTTGGTTTTCAGCTTAACCCAGTGAAATTTGTCCGATGTTCCGTTTACTCTAATCACTTTCTTCGTGTGTATTAACAGCTGTCACTTCTTTGCTGCAGGGGTTTTGCCCTCATACAGCAGACACAGCAGCCCCTCGGGGCACCTGAGCCATAGCCGCAGCAGCAGCAAGGGCAGCGCCGACGAGCTTATATCCCAGCCGAAGCAGAAGGAGCTGGTGGGCAGTGTGCGGCAGAAGATGCTTCTAGACTACAGCGTGTACATGGCCAGGTGTGTCCCCCAGGAAAACCGAAGCCCCCAAAGGAGCCCCGTGCAGAGTGCGGAGAGCAGCCCCACAGCTGGGAAGAAGGTAAAGCTGGCTGCCTGGGCCGTGGCTTTTCTGCTTTTCTACTCAAACTCACTTCTACCTGCGTAAGCACTCTGAATGCCTCGTGTGTACCAGGCCCAGCTCTAGGCACTGGGGACGTAGGAGCGAACAAGACAGTTAAGAGCCTTGCCCTCAGGTTGCTGGCACTTTAGCTAGTCGGGAAGATGGCAAGCAACAAACATCTGGTGGTGGCAAGAATGAGAGTAAAGCCAAGTGTAGGAAGATGGAAAATGGCCAGATTGCTTTCTTAGAGTGGTGGTCAAGGAGGGCCTCATTGAGGGGCACCTGGGTGGCTTAGTCGGTTAAGCATCCGACTTTCGCTTAGGTCCTGATCTCGCGGTTCGTGGGTTCGAGCCCCACTTCGGGCTCTGTGCTGACTGCCAGCTCGGAGCCTGGAGCCTGTTTCAGTCTGTGACTCCCTCTCTCTGACCCTTCCCTACTCACGCTGTCTCTCTTTCTCCTAGAAATAAAAAAACAAAAAAAAAAACAAAAAAAACACACATAAAAAAAAAGGAGGGCCTCCTTGAGGAGGTGACATTTGGGCAGAGATCTGACCAAAGTGAGGAAGTGAATCATGGGATCTGTGTGGGAGTGGCATTCCAGGGGAGAGGCCAGAGAGTGCCGAGGCCGAGGCCAGGGGGAAGCATGTGGTTGGCGTATTCACGGAACTGCGACAAGGCCAGTGTGGTGATGGAGAGGCAGGGCCTCGTGGGGTCAGTTCTAAGAAGGGCAGGACGCACTGGGAGGGTTTTGAGCAGGGCATAATGTTGATCTATTTAAGGTTAGAAGCAGCTTTTTGTGGAGAGTGGGTAGTAGGAGGAAGAGAGCAGGTGAGGGGCAGCTCCGGCTGTGGAGAGTGGGGCTGCGGAGGGGAAAACCGCTGGAGTTGGGAGACGTGATGGAGGGCAGCTGGCTGGATGTGCTGGTGACTTAGGGGTGGGGCGTGAGGGAACCGGACGGGCCAAAGATCACTCCTAACCTCTGACCCTAGCAACTGGGCAGTCAGCGGGGATGCCCTCAGAGTCATGAGCGATAGAGGTCTAATTCCTCAGTTACCTTTGTATTCTCAAATTCTCAGATGCGCTGGCTACGTCCAGTGCTTTTGAAGATTCACCACGAGCATTATTCCCACAGTGTAACAAGCTGGACATTGACTAAAGGCATCTGCGATAAGATAAAGACTATAAGCTGCCATACACCTGGTGTTTAAGGCACTTCCATAGAATGACCCTGATCCCTTAAACAGTCTTGCAGATTAAATGGTGTTCTCTGCATTTTGCAGATGGAGAAACAGGTTCACCCGAGTTAAGTAGCTTAATTTCACAGTTGCTAAGTGACGGCATGTACAGAGCCTGGCCTGAGGCCCCCAGGCCCTCAGCTGCCACGACTGCCATTTTGCTGGCCATTTTGAAACTGCGCTGGACCTGGGGCCTCCTCCGCTTGGGCCCAAAGCACCGCCTCCTGCCTGTGCCGCCCAAAACCTATCTTTCTCATGTTCAGTAACTTGCTAAAGTGTTTGACCTCTTGCAGTGACTATATTTCTGTTCTTAATGGGAAGCACTCGGTGCCACCTTCTTTGCTCTGTTAGCCAGTCATGGGTTTTCATTCATTTCGTGGATCCTCTTCTATGTGGAAGAGGCCTCTGAACCCACACTCAGCTGGCTGTCAGCCAAAAACAGACCAGATGCCCCTGCTGGCCTCTCACCCACCGCCTCTGCCCTCTGCCCTAAGCTTCCAGCTAGTGTGGGAAGTTGACATTCCTCTAGGCCAGAGTTGGGTAATATAAAATGATTCTAGGAATGTCCTGTTTACCACCAATGAATCCCCCATCCCCAAATCCCTTTTCTCCCTGCATTATCAGCTGTCTACACTCTCATCGGACTCAGGGAAATCAGAAATCAGGAAGATAATTGTATACTAATGTAAGAAAATTATGTAATAAAAGTCTTGCTTTTTAAAAGAGTTCCTTAAATTTCAAACAAAAACAAAAACAGGCACCTGGGTGGCTCAGTCAGTTAAGCATCTGACTCTTGATCATCTCAGGTCATGAGCTCATGGTCGCTAAATCGAGCCCCACATCAGGCTTTACACTGACATGTGGAGCCTGCTTAGGATTCTCTCCCTCTGCCCTTTCCCCCCCCCCCCCCCCACCTGTGAGCTCGCGCGCTCTCTCTCTCTCTCTCTCTCAAAAACAAAACAAAACAAGCATGTTTTAGAACATTGTTTCCTCAGTGTGTGGTACGTGTGTTTGTTGTATTATGTCCCCATTGGGGCCTGTGGAAGCCCCAGGAGGGGCTGGGCAGCCCTGATGGCCCATAGCCCAGCCCCTCGAGCCAGCATCTCTGTCACTGGGGGATTCTCTAGTGCAAACCTCCTTTCTGAGTATTTGGCGTTTACCTCTTTGAGCATCAGAACATGTTTTTCCTCTTCTGAGTCTGATGAAAATCTTCAAAAACCACATTGCATTTCCTGGCCCCCTTAGACAGAACAGGCAGGGATGATTTAATCTTGATAATTTAAGAACTTAACAACAAACAGAAATCCAAGCTTGTCGTCATCCAGGCCTGCTGAGGTCAGAGGTTTTTCACCCCCGTCGGAACCATCCCTGGCTGCAAATTCTGTGGCCCTTTATTGTCACTAGGCTACTGTTTGTACAATCCTTCTAGTTGCTTTTCCTTGAGTGCTTATCCCCGTCTCCCACCCCCACCCTTAATGCAGTGACTCTAGTCTGCGTGGGCTGGGATACCAGAGAGGCAGAATTGTGTGAACGGCATGGCTGTCCTTTTGAAGAAGGCACGTGAGGTCTGGTGCTGGGCTCCTGCATCCACTTAGCCTCCCTAAAGTGTGTGGCGGCCTAACATGCCTAACAGTTATTCATTTTACTTACCGACTTGCACTTTGACTACGCTTGTCACTGAAGGTTTCTCTCTGCTCCATACAGTGTCAGCTGAGGAGGCTGGACTGGGGGCCGGAGGAGCTGCCCCCAGGATGCCTCACTCCCACAGCTGGCACACAGATGCTGGTAGCTGGCCGGGAGCTCACTTCTCCATGTGGCCTGGTGACTGGGTTCCGAGGACAAGTCTCCCTAGGGAAAGAGCCAGGCGGACACCATATCACCTTTTATGACCTGGTCTTGGAAATAAAATAACATCACTTCCATCATGTTCTCTTAGAGCAGTCAGCATACCTTCCCAGGTTCAAGCATGGAGGCTATAGATTTTGCTTCTTGCTGAAGAAGCAGCAAGTACTTGGAAGAGCATATAGGATGAGAAATATCATTGTGTCATTCTTGGCAAGGAAGATCTGCTATAACTTCCTAGTACTTTTATTACTTTTCACACTTTCCTTTAATTAACTCAGTGGAAATAGTTATTAACCAGTTTTATTTCTTATTAATTTTGCAGTTTGAGTAAATGAGGACCTTTTCCCTCCATTTTTAATTTGTGTGTGTGTGTGTGCGCGTGTGCACACACATGTGAAACATTAACAGGGCTCCAGAGATCAAAGCTGTGCAAAGACCTACTCAGAAAAGGGCCATCACCGCCACCCTGTTTCTTCCTTTCCTCCGTTCCCACTCATCCCCTGCCATAAGCCAGTCTCCTTAGTCTCTAGTTTATCCTTTCTGGTTTTATTGCCCCTTCTGTCTTAGTCAAATGGTAGCATATTATGGCTACTCTTTTATACCTTACTTTTTTCACTTACCAGTACATTCTGGAAATCGCTCCACATCAGTTCATGGATGTCTCTCCCTCCTCTTGTTTTTGAACAGCTGCAAAGTACTTAATCCATTGTACAAATGTTTCAGAGTATATATACATTCTCTCTTCTATAGGGGCATATAGGTTGTTTCCAGTATTTTACAATTACAAACAATATTGCAGTGAATAGTTTGTGTATTTTTGTATTGTTGGGAGTGTAAAATCTTAGAAGTGAGATTGCTAGATCAGAAGGTAAATGCACATGTACTGTCGTTAGGTATTACCCAACCCCTTCCATAAGCGTTGCACCATGTTCGTTCCCACCATTCATGACTGCCTTTTTCCCCACAGTCTCGCCAAATATGGACCCTTTGGTTGTGGTGATTAGTGTTCATTCTTCCTGCCACAGACTGGGCCAGGTTATTTCTTAGGGTCCACTGCCTCTGACATAATGAGTCCCAGAGAAACTCAAAGGGCTCAGAGACAAAAAGGAACCTTTGACATTTTTTTAAGTTACACTGTCACGTTGTCGGTGTCAGCCACCGGCCAGAGCTTACCCAGGGTAGCAGGTCCCCTCCTCTTTCATAGCGGGAGCCTGGAACGCAGCTCCAGCCTTTGCTTCAACCCCTCCACTCCCCGCTGCCCCACTGCTGCCGCCCCTGTAGGCCATGGTCAGAACATCTCTTACCCTGAGGGCTCCAAGTCTAATGGCAGCTTCCATCCACTGGGCCTCCTTTCTCACGTTCACCCAGTGCCAAACTAGGTCAGGAGGTGAATGAGGCCACTGGTGCTCGGGAGCCAAACTCATGTTACAAACACCCAGGATATGATTAGTAAACAAAGACTAGGTCTGTATTGAATGGTGTTAAAACAATACAGTAATGTTGTGATTATTCTTACAATAATTAAAAACATATTCAGGGGATTCTGCATTATATTCAAATTCTAAAATTTGAATTATAAAACCACTCTTTTCAAGGAAGGGCCTGGTTCTCCACCTGGGTAGTGGTTAGTGACCAGTTACTGAGCCCTGACTGGCCCTCACGACTGCTTTGTCCCACAGCCACAGGCTGTGCAAGCCTCTGAAGTCTCCACACCCCTGTGGTACTGGCACCATTTTCTCACTGCTCAGGCAGCTTAACCTCTCGAATAGTTGTGACGCCGTGAGGCTGGCTGAGGAGACCAGAGCTTTCTTGTCTCATCAAGGTGGTGTACTTGGTTTGAGGAGGAGATTTAAATAGTAATTAAGAAAACAAGAAAATAAGGAAACTCTCTTTTTAAAAA